CTGTGTCAAAGGCTGATCGCCTCCATGCCACGCCGCCTTGATGCAGTAATTAATGCAAAAGGAGGCCCAACAAAGTACTGAGGACATAATACAGTACATTAACACACTTTTCAGAAGGCCAACATGTGTTTAAGATCCTTTTTTTTGAACTTTGTCATAATATTCTAATTTTGTGAAATACTGGATTTGGGGGTTTTTTTTGTCTTTAATCCATAATCGTCAAAATTGAAACAAATAAAGGCTTGAAATATTTCACTTTGTGTGCAGTGAACTAATATAACGTACAAGTTTCACTTTTTGAAACAAATTATTGAAATAAATGGACTTTTCCTCGATATTCTAATTTTTTGGCACATACCTGTAATTACAGATTTGTGTGATGCGTGTACTTGTCTCCTCTCAGAGGAACCAGTCGTCATACAACAGCAGACACATGACTGTAAGTCAGGGTAACTAAAGCCTGCTGTGCATTCACTTAGCAGCCGACCAGAATATTTTGGAGCCAAAGAAGGGATTACAAAATAACTGGACCCCTCGCGTGTTGTCTGTGACAAACGAGGCGGCCTTTCGTGTTGTCTTAGGGCTACGTTTAGCCAGAGTTTTAGTGCCACTGTCTGTATTTGTGTGGAGTCCAGTTAGCTCTTCAGAAGCAACCTCGCACCACCTTGTGCTGATACAACATTTAGCAAAATGCAACTCACTACAGAGGAGAAAACAGAGCTGAGGCTTCAGGAGCAGAGGACAGTCAGTCCTGCTTTGGGGGTAAGTGAAGAGTTGTCTTAATAGTCTGTGAACTCTTTGGGTTAGTTTTGTGACACCAGCAGAGCTACCAAGGGAACTACGGTGCTATTTTCTGACATTACAGCACTAAACAGTGTAGGTAAACCACTGAGGAATGAGCGTTTGTTCCACAAAAGACAAGATATTTTCATGGAGTAAGTTGCATGGTTCCAAAGTGCGCAGTCAGGATCAGTCAGAGGTATAGTCAAAAAACTGAATCAAGCATACAGAAATAGGGACGTGTGTCTGTGAGTATGGTGAAAAGGTCCGCCAGCATGGGGTGTGCATGTGTACGCAGCTGAGACCAGGGTCGATGTTTCCCCTTCTTTTCCCTATCCGATTTAACTGGAGAATTTAGAAAAATGGGAACACAAAACAAACTGCACAGCTTGAAGCATGTCTGTCTGTGAACATAAGCAGAACAACATAACCGAGCCTCATTAATTATTGTTATTCCTGTATTGTATACTAACTGACAGTCCTGTACTTCTACCATAGAACACATTCAAAGACATTGCATTAGGGTTTATATATTTATATCTGTTAAACTGAGCTTGCTGACTTTGGCATCCAGATTAGTTCACAAGTCATTTTTAGCCTTTGATCATACAAACCGTTTTATGATTTTTTTTTTTTTTTTATTAGCTTATCAGTGCAAAGCACTTGAATGGGAAAGCTTTTTTTTTTTTTTTTTTTTTTGCAGTTTAAAAACAAAAGCTTTTGTTTGTCAGAATCCAGAGGTCATGCCAGTCCTTTTAGGGTTTCAAGATAAAGGATGCATCATTATCATGGCACAGTAACTCTGACCCTTGACTCTTCACGGGTGCCGATCTTTATCCCGACAGTAAGGTTTGAGGCTCCTGGCATCTAATTCAAAATAAATGACTCTGGAGGTGAGAAATATAAAGTAAAATGTAAAATATTCAACAAAAACGAATGCTTTATACCGTGTGCAAAACATTGTGTTGCAAAGCAAACAGCAAAAGTACAAAAGGAAATAAAGTAATGACAAATTAGCATGTTGCCGTGGTCATTAGTTGGTGAAGTCAGATGTGTTAAGGACCTTGTGTATATTTTTACATGCATGTGTGAAAATGTCGAAATTGTCTGCAAGTCACAGGAAGAACAGCTCAGTATTTGCTTGTACTTCCTAAACACATACTTCACCTCAGTGTTAGGCTAGATGCCGCACTGACAAGGGGAGTGTGTGATCCTGGTTGTTTGAGGAGGAATTACAGACAAATAGCACACTCTGACTCAATAGAAAAATAAAACACTCGCCAAGTATCAGCTATAGCCTGCCCTACCAGGAACAGGCTACATACTACGTTAACCAGTAATCAGCTAGTGTACATGTCTAAATATTAACTTTGAAAAAACAAGATAGTAGACCATTGAGTTGTAGAGTAAACATTTTTTGGTCTATATATTCAAAGGTGAAAACATACTAAGTAACTAAGTACAGTTCCCCCCCATAAATTTAACTTCTGCTGCAAATATGCAGACGACGCTTCTGTATTGTTTTGCTTAGTCTTCATGTTCTACAAGGCTTAATAGTTGTAATGTAAACCAGAATCGCTATATGTAACAAAGAGAAGGTGGAGATGTTTGAGGCTTGAGGTTATTGTTCAATCTAATACAGAGACTGAATCAGTTTGAATCACAGTAGCATAAAACCAATCATCCACAGACTGAAACACTTGTCTCCCTGCTGCAGCATCATCGGGACAGTCTGCTTTAGTCTTCAGTGTGTTTTACGGTCACTGTCTCGAAAACTCTTAAAGATTTTTTATGCAGCCAGCAAACCGGTCTTCCCATGCCCAACTCATCCATCCGTATCATCACAGCCGTGATGCAAAATAATCATGCTGGCCAGCTTCACTGATGATTTACTGCACCTTAGCACCATCTGTTTCTAGTTATCTATCTAATAATTCTTTTAACCTTTATGTGGTCAGGGTGGCTTTTATGTCTATTTTTTCAGGAACTCCCAGATCACAAAGATCTACAAACACACACACACATCTGGAACCGCTCCACTGGAACATTGCCGCTTGAGCAGCAGGGTGTTAAGGGTGTTTGTCAAGGACACCACAGTGGTGGTGATGATTGAGGGGCAAGGGCCCATTTGTTCCACCTAGATTTAATACTCCTGGTCTAAAAGTTTATTTTTGATGCTTGACTTAATTTTTACTAATAAAATAAGTATTTCTATGTTGACTCTGCTTTAACACACACACACCAAAATGTACTTCCCTAATGGTGCGGTAAGTTGTAGACATGACATGCAGCAGATGTCCTCAGCCGTGATCAGACCTGAGAACACAGTTATATGGTCAGTATCTCACACCTCTCTGCTACTGTACATCTCTGAGTTTTCTGCTGCTACTCAAATAAAATGGAGGTGAATGGAATTTTGTTTGTGGTGCTTTCCAGAAATGACATTTTTGTTATTCAGGATAATCCAAAGAAACCAGAGAAGCTTTTCTTATGAAAGAACAAATGATTTTTTTTTTCTAAATTCATTTTTTTGGGGGTGAAAGAAGCAAACAAACAAAAAAACTCAAAATCTCACAGGTGATGTTTTAAGACATAAACAAAAACCTGCTTTCAGTTCATCCAGTCTTGTGGTCTGTGGAGTGCAGGTAGATAACCACTAGATGGAAGCAAGTGGCCACGGAATCCCCAATGCAGATGTCTGTGCACCACCTGCTACTAATATCAAAGTAAATCAAAGGGAAAGGAAAGGTGGTGCAGATCGTCTCGGTCATGTGACTCGTGTGAGACAGATGCAAAAGTCGTATGTGAACAAGGTCTGTTTGAGTATTGCATGGGTTGAATATCAGATTGACCGTCTTAAGACACAACAGGATTCAGGGCAAAGGCTGCACTCATGGCACTTTGGTGTGAAATATCTTTAAGTTTACTGGAGTCTGGAAGTAAGGCCTCCAGTGGGATGATGCCATTAACACTACTGCCTTTGACCAGTTTTAAACATTGTTTTAAAGCACTATTTAGTCTTCTATAAGCTACTGTATTTTGAGGTGGAAGAAAGCTATTTGAACTTTTATAAGAACAGTAATTGCTGGTTACATGCATATGGGACTCCAGGTCAAGAAACGCCCCACATACAGTTCAACATATGGCTGGGTGCAAAATGAAAACATCTGCACTCAATATGGATAGGCTAAACCCTCCGAAGTCCAGATGGGAAGTCCCTCAAAAGGCTGTGTAGAATATTCTATGGGACTTTCTAATCCAAATGCACGGGGAGGTACTGGCTAGCCAGCCGGACTGCAAGAGTAGACAAAGAACAGAAGGCAGCAGGGGTGATGGATGTAGCTATCCCAAGTGATAACAGCACCAGGATCAAAGAGTGTGAGTGCTAGGAACAGCTTATCTCTGAACTGTTGCTTGTTTGCACTTACTGTCTAATGAAGGTTTGGCTTCCAAAAACGTAGGAAGTACTAAATCCCACAAATCTGGAAAAAGTTTATGGACTTTTCTTTTTGTTGCCAACCTAATTTTTTCAGTAAAGGTTACTGTCAAAGTTTCTGAACCTTGTCCTTAAAGATGTCATCTCATACTGTATGTGTCTACTTAATCTTCACCTCTTCCAACGATCAAATACCCCCTGAATAGGCACAATTAGAAACACTGGTGTCATCTTCATTTCCAGTACCCACCCTTGAAACAGGCACATCCTCAAGAGAGTATGAACAACCTCCTTCAAAACTGTCCCTGTGGACTGTTACAAGGAAACAGACTTGGAAGCAAATATCCGGAAGTACGAAAGTATGTGTCACCAGATACATATATTGTAATGATATGGATGTTTGGATGATATATAGGTGTACCTGTAACCTTAGCCACCAAGCACGGTCATGATTTTACCTTAGTATTGATTTAATATGATTTTAATTTAGTAATTTTTTGAGCTTTCTGTAACATTAATGCTTTTTGTCACATTAGCAGTAGTGTTCAACTTACTGACACATTTACTGGTTAGCCAGCTAACGCTAGCTTCGGCCTGGAGGCTGCATTTTGTACAGTATGTGCACTGTTCACCCACCTGCCATTCACTGTCGCCCACGTACTGTAGATGTTGTGCTATATACTGTATTATGCTTTGTATTTGTGCCTCTTATCAAACTAAACCAACAGTTGGATATAGAAGGCTTTCCCCTGAACTAACCTCAGTTTCAAAGACAAAACAAAAGGATTTCCAACTGTGACACTGTGTGGTGCTTGGAGAAACAGTGAGTGTGTGCTTTAAGGCAGGAGGTATTGTTTTTACTTGATGTTGCTTAGATACATAGTATTGCTGAATCAATGGCTTGTTGGCCTTTTATGTGCCTCCTTCTCAGAACATTGACAGGGATGAACAGGCAGAGCTGACAGAGCTGACAGTTGACATTGAGCAGTTACCCACAGAGGCCCTGGAGGAGACTGTGAACAAAGGTGTGCATTTGGTTTACTCCCTCAATGACAGGCCACCATGGTACCTTTGCATTCTGCTCGGCTTCCAGGTAAAGTAGTCCAGTGATATAATGGTCATTACAACTTTTTTTGTCCTCCAAAATCTACTAAATGTGACAGAAAATCAGAAAAGCTGCATTAGTTGATTTTTGGCTTGTAGTGGGAGAGAGGGGTAATTGTTTGGTTTTAAGGTCAAAGTGTTTATTTGTCATATGCACAGTTTAGCTTTTGGTTAATATCCAGAAAGTATTGGACTTAAGCACACTAATGGCAGGACACATCTTGCATTTTAAAATTATTTTCTATCTATGAATTGAGCTTTCTTTCATACTTTGGTAGATTTTTGTATTTTACATTTATATATTTAACATAACCAGCAAAACTCAGAAGAAATCAAGAAACTAGCATTTATGTTTTTACCACTTCAGTGTCCCCAAATGTATTCTGCGTCCTTAGCATTACATCCTCGCATTTGGTGGCATCATCGCAATCCCGCTGATCCTGGCTGAGCCCCTCTGCATAAAGGACAACAGCATTGTCAAAAGCCAGCTCATCTCCACCATATTCTTTGTGTCGGGATTATGTACGCTGCTACAGACAACCATTGGTACCAGGTAACACCTTCATTCCTTCACAGCACAAGTGAACTGAGAGGTACTGTATCAGGCCAGATGGAGTTATTTAGACATTTACATGTTTTACCACACAATATCCCTCTGTGCTTCATTGACTTGCAGGTTACCAATCCTCCAGGGTGGGACCTTCAGTTTGCTCACTCCAACCCTGGCCATTCTTTCTCTTCCCAAGTGGAACTGTCCAGCCCCTGTGATGCAGAATGGTACCAACCCGCTGCAAACGGACAATTCTGATGAGATCTGGATGTCACGGATGCGCGAGGTATGTAAAATATTTGCTTGAACCAGATGATTCTCAGTACCTTATACTGTATGCCCCAACAGGGAATCCAAACTTTCGCCTTTGCAGTGTTAATGCATTTAAGGTGAAGTTCTGGAAGTTCCTAAACAACATTTTTTGGCTGAAATTAAGTCATGTTTTTGTTTTCAAAAAGACAAACAATGTCTCATAGATATTTTTTTCTTTAAAAAGGGGACAGATGTCAAGTGTTGCTTTTTTAAACTACTTGTAACTGGCAACTTGCACAGTCCCTGACGTTATGTACTTGTATCTGGGGCCTAATGTAAAAATCTGGGGTAAAACCTTCAAATTAGAGAGGTTTGGGTCAAACCTGAAATGATGTCCCTCTTGCCATCCATAGATCCAGGGAGCCATCCTGGTGGCTTCTCTGCTCCAGGTCATCCTGGGCTTTTCTGGCCTGTTGGGTCTTGTGCTCAGGTATATCGGCCCTCTGGCAATCGCTCCCACCATCAACCTTATCGGCCTGTCGCTGTTCATTGAGGCTGGCAAGAAGTCTGGAAGTCACTGGGGGATATCTGCTCTGTGAGTGGATGGTGCTTTACACTGATGTACAACATGAAAGACCATGTTCTTAAAATAAAAAAAACATATGTACAGTACATATGTTATTATGTATGTATATATTCAGATGGGCTATAAATTAAAGCAAAAATCATTATAATCTCTGTTCTACATTAAACTAATTTTATTTACCTTTGCTCCTGACCCATCCACCCACATGAACTTTGTTTTCATTTACTACTGTCATCTCTGGGTAATGCAGGCTAGAGGCATTAGAAAGTGATCCATGGGGGTTTTCAAAGGTTCAGCACATCTAACTCTTGGTGCCAGATATAGATGGTAATTAGTCATATCCTTCTCAGCCCCCTCCTACAGTGTACAGGAGCAAACACACACAGTCTACACGGTTGCAATTCAGTTCTATCAGTGTATAAAAAATTCTGGAGACTGTGCCAGGCTGTCATAAGACACAGTGGCAGGGGAAGTGAAGAAGTCCATTTCAAAACAAAATGTTTGTTGGCATCCTTTATGTAACACTTTTAACTTAAGGGCAATGAAGGTCTTAAATATACAAGTACATATAAAGAAAGCAGACATGAATGTCAAACTGGCTCTTGGTGTGCTCAATGCAGAATGTTTAATTTATGAAGTCATATTTTATATCATGTGTATTATTATATGACAGAATAGATGACAGAGCAACTTTATGCTAAACACCACGAGAGCACTCAGAGGACTGGGAGTTCCTGATTCTCACTGCTGAGAAAATTGCCCAGGGAAGATAATCCTGTTGACGTCACAGTCTCCTCTCCCCGATATCATGTCACATACTCCCGCCCTACCCTACCCCACCACAACACTCGCATTGTTCCTGCACATCATGCACATTGTGCGGCACCTTCAAACATAGCATGAAGTGTTTCATGTGTAGCATGTAATGCCATTCAACGACAGAGAACTGAGCAGAGTATTTTACAATGTTCTGCTGCCCACGTTTGCCACACTTGTACTGTTATTTACTCCAAATAACTGACTTTGCTCCAACCTCCTCCTAGCTGTGACATATGGCAGCATGCCATGCTTAATCACACATACACTGACAGGTATGAGTGAGAGCCAGGCCCTGGGCACAATGACTGAGAGTGACAATTTGTCTCTTGTCTTCCGTTTTCCCACAGAACCGTCTGTCTGATCTTCCTGTTCTCCCAGTATCTCAGCAACGTCGATGTTCCGCTGATTGCTTACAAGGATAAGCAATGGAAGGTCTTCCGGTATCCGCTTTTCAAACTTTTCTCTGTGAGTTTCCATAATTATCCCATTCTAATATGTTCAACTTGTTATTTGTCACAGAAAACCTTAAAAAATTAATTCCAGGATATTTGGCCCTAAAAGCTGTTTGACCTACTTGCTTTGCTTCACAGCTTTAAATCTTATATCAAGCCAAAGTCTTCCATTTTACTATGCAGAATTTTGGCAGGTTTACATGTTTTTTCTGTGTAATTAATGTTGACCAAGTCAGATAATCACTATAATGTGCTAGATAATTTTTTTATGTTCAGAATCAGAATTTAATCGAAGTATATCACACCTACTTACAGCTGTTTTATTTACAGTGTATGCTTTCTTATCTTTATTCCTGAAGCCACTCTGCAATTAATGTAGCCCTCAAAATGTAAGTCAGTAAAATGTGTGGAAAAAAATCTGTGCATGGACCGTTTATTAGTTTTAGATCAACAGAATCAGCTTTGACCAAACAACTAATGTTAAAGAAAATAGGTATGTTTGGCCTTTCACAGTAGGCGACATCTTCACATCAGGGAGCCCTGAAAGAGGAAATCCTCCTGTGGGGTCATCAGTCTGCACAGATGACTAATGATAACAAGATTTAAGTCTGTACTTTATCAATATCCAAATAACGGTCAGTATGACTGGGAAAAATAAATACAGATCTATGGAAAAATGACTTTTTTTTTTTTTTTTACTGTTCAGCTTTGGGGGTGTTTGACTTGAACAAACACAAGCCCAGTCAATCTTTCACTGGGCTGATATGAGCCCTATTTCTCAGACTTTCAACTATGACTGTTGTGAGATTGTGTTTTTAACTTTTATTTATATAAGAATGGGTTTTATACAAGCACACATGCACTTTATAACGTCCACCCTGCTTCTCATTCATGCAGTTACATGTTAGCTTGTCCGTGTGAGAACTGACAAGTACAATCATGGTCCTCTAACAGTTGCTGTCGGTCGGATCCAAACTTACTGCCATGCACGCAAAAGCTATACGTTATTTATACTGTGATAAGATATCTGTTTATATAAATAATATGGATCGAAGTGAAGCTCCTCTGTGTGAATTTATGTCAAGTCCTTGACAATATAGAATAATATAGAAGGATGGAGACATGCTAACGAAACACTGATTCAGTAAGTAAAAGTGAAAAAGAGTGACAAAAGCATCAGTCTGAGTAAGTCGGCTTCAGGGTTCAGTCTGTGGAATGCGTTATGTATAGCTGCTCTTGGCAGAATGACTCATATCGTGTGAAAGGCAGGAAAACCTTTTAAAGAGTACGAACAGTTTCTGGCATGTTCAAGGAAACATAAAGAACACAGTTTGCTGCCATGTTCTTCTGCCCTCAAGCTACTATTTGACTTTCCTTAAAGAGGCCTGCATAGTTGTGCACAGCTCTTCAGTCTCACATAATCCCTGATGCCCAAGGCATGTTGTATGAAGATGCATGCAGGCTCAAAGTGACAGTGATTCTGAAGCGATATTGTAAGTGATACAGTACAGTAGCAAAACTCAATACAAAATTAGACGAAGCTCATACTTCAGCATCAAATATTATCTTCATCTTACCATTTAAATGATGCAGTAAAAGAGTTTGTTTGCAGAAACCTATGTTCCAGAAGATCCTTACTTAACAGCTGTGGCTGCAGTTAGGGGTGGATTGGTTGATACTGGGAAAGCTACTTTGAAAGCATTGCTTTGCAGCTACCAATTACTTTACAGTGGAAGAGGTTGGACTACAGCAAAGCTGCTGTAGTTTGGTTAACTCGGGCTACTTAGAGAAAGTAGTTCAATCTACTTGTGCATGTGATTTGAAATTAGAACAAGCTATAATACAGAAGAGTTGCATGGCAGCAAAAAATGGCAAATGCAATGCAAAAAATATCTAGTTGTTCACAGGTAACAGATAAACCAAAAAATAAAAAACCCTCACTGTTTATAATAAAGTGCAAGGAGTGTTAGTGGAGTGGTTTTGCATACAGTGTCAATCAGCTTGACACCTTCCTTCCAGAAACTAGAGTCCATGGGGTACTCAGTTAGCCAGCTAAGTTATAAAATACCATGCACCAACTTCTCATCATGTGCTAATCAATAGCAATAATCATGTGTTAATCAATAGCAGTAATCAATAGTTATGACTAATTGACACCTAATATATTGAAGTTTAGTTTTACAGCTTCAGATTAAAAAACTATAGCCAGTTATTTTTCACAGCCCAGCTTCCCGCAACACCTCTGAGACCTAAACCTGTCCTAAACTATGACCCAAAATTGTTCGTAGTTTCATCAGTTAGCTACACAAAAATTCACGCTTTTTATTCTTCAAAGCATGCAGTGAATATGAACTCACCAGGCCTTAAACAGTATGCAGTATTGTGTGTTCTGTGCTAATTAAACCAAGACTCTCTGCATCTGAAACCAAATCCTAGGCTTTGTTTGGGATGTGTGGCGGCTGGCTGGTCTGCTTCCTACTGACCATCTTTGATGTCCTGCCATCAAAGCGTGATGAGTACGGCTTCTCTGCCAGGACCGACATCAGTCTGGAAGCTGTGAGAAACTCTCCATGGTTCCATGTGCCATACCCAGGTAAGCGCATGGATATCTTACTTCTAACGCACGTTCGATCCTGAATTTTTTCAAACCGCATCACATATAAACCTTACTCATATACAGTATTTCATGTCATTTTTCTTAGTCACAACACACATGGAATCTTTTTTGCCAACTCTAAATTCTATGTATATATTTTTACAACTGCCTAAGGTCCTAAAGTTGTCTTACTACTACCAATTACTGCTGTAATCAATCAGAAATAGTTGTATTGTTTGTACCCTCTTAAGTCCAGGCCTTCCAAGAGATAATGTCAGGTGTGTGGCCAGAAACACCAAGTGCCATTCATAGAAAAACTACCTGTACAGTAAAAAAACAGTAAAGAGGCTCTTCAGATGCCAAGTAACCACTTAGGTCTGATCACACACACACTGCACCAGTATGTAATAAAAATAACCAAGTATTCTAACCAACAAAGGTCTGTAAAACTGCAGAGTGCTGTTATAATTCATTCATCTTGTCTGCCAGCATCTCCTTAATTTCACCTTTGACAAACATTCCAAGCCAAATGCAATATAAAGGACATTCTGCTGTTTAGCTGAGAGTTGCACAACTGCTCTTTAATGATCTGCCAAAAAGTTGCTGAAGTTTATAAAGCAAATAAAAATGATTAGCCTTTTGTTTTAATTGCTTAACATATATCTCCTGATATTTTAGTGTCTGAAATGGGATGCTGATGATGGATGAATTAAATGTCACATTTCTATAATCACATCAGGACAAGAAACCTCCTGGGAATCCTTAGTTGGCCACAGCTTCAAATGAAACTGGCAAGCAATGTGGAAAATGTGCTCCTTGCTTCAAGAAGTATATACTGCCATAAGAAGGTTCTACTGCCTTCGGCCTGAGTTTCAGAACCAGTTATCATTAGCATTAGGTTCTCCTCTTGTAAGAGTGATAGATCTCGGTACATGTTTTTGATCTTTTCAAAAATTGTCTATGGATTTGAGGCATTTGAGAAACTCACTTTCATTGTCTTTTTGGCATTAATTTATTTATGCCAAAGTGTGCTTAGTGATCTTTTGATTATTTCCAAATTGCTTCTGCTGTTTCACTCAGGTCATGTCATTCCCAATTGAATTACACATGGTTTTCAAGGGGAAATTGTTCCTGCAATGACATGCAGAAAAGAAAACAGAATAACATTGGTGAAAAACATCATCATGTCAGTATTACATAATACACATCATTCAGCACATCACAAAAACATCACAGATATATTGTTAGGACAGTACAGAAAATCAACAGCATATGACCACAGCAATTTGCACAACATTCATGGTAAAGTGCCTCAGGATATTAGTGGCTTTTTACACACTTTGGGTTATAGATTACATTTTAACCGGGTATAATTGCCTTTTTTGCCCTTCCCCCATGACTGTACACTCAAGTGTAGTGAATGACAAAGTGAAAACATGTTTAGGTTTATATTTGAGTGTTTAAGACAGTAATTACAGCTGACAAGTTATTACAAGGCAAAGACCTGAAGACAAAGCCACTTCTAGGAGATTGGGGCACTTAAGCAGGCTGCCTTCACACCAGTGTTTGTAAATGTCACTAAACAGCTGGAAGGCCCAGGTCATTACAATTTTTATCATCCTGTTTCCCTGTCATGAAGAGAGCAGCACTGTTGGATGTGCTTGTAACGGCTACATCACTAAATCAAGTCCAGATGATCCATCCATCCATCCATCCATTTTCTTCCGCTTATCCGGGGCCGGGTCGCGGGGGCAGCAGTCTAAGCAAAGATGCCCAGGCCTCCCTCTCTCCAGACACTTCCTCCAGCTCCTCCGGGGGAAGTTTCATTTACTGTGTGAGAGCATGCAGAGGGACAATAGTGTATCACCCCATAATCAGAATGAAATCATATCCAATGTTACATTGGACAATGTGACGTTTCACCAGTTTAGTGTTGTCGCCTCACAGCAAGAAGGTTCAGAGTTCGAGCCCCAGTGGACCCAG